CAGATTATTGTCCTTATTTTCAGAATAAGAGCACTCGCACGACTTCTCAGTTTAAGAGAACGTCATCTGGTCCCAGTGTTGGAAATGAAGCAGCTGTTTAGTTTTTATTGTTTTAATTTAATGTTTCTGGAGATTTCATTTAACACAAAGTCATTCATTTATATTGTGCTGTTAGAAGAAATTATTGTATGTGTTATTGTAAGATTTTTGTGCTATTTATTAATCTTACATTAGTGTACAAATTCTTAAATTCAGCTCAATAAAGTGACCAAAATATGTATTTTAATAAAGTCTGTCTTAAATAACTGAGTTTTCATTGCTTACTAACTTACTTATTTTATCATTACAGTCTTTCAGTTGGTAGATTTTTATGCTTAATACAAGAAAATCTGATTATATTTAACAATGTTTTACTACTTTACTGCAGTTGTTTCTGCACTTGTTTGTGAGCCAGGAAACTCCAAACACGACAACTACAATGTGTGGAAGAGAAAGCAGATTGTTACAGCTCATCTCACTGAGGACCAGCAGCAGTGTGTTCATCATAAATGTGGAAAAGAGCGATTATTAAAGGAGAGTGGCTGTGAACTCGCAGACGTCCCCTCACAGCAGCTGAGGACGCCGCTGTCTGCGGTAGACCCCCCCTCCTCCTCAAACGTAAAGCAAATGTCATTTCCTCTTGATATTTGACGCTTTGGATTACATTTACTCCTCACGTGGTTGTCACCTTCTTGCTCGTGTGTAAGCCTGTTTTCCAGCCGTTAATCCAACAACCTCCTGAACGCCACCACAAACCGGCTGAGGGATTCTTCAGGAGCTGAAACGTAACGACAGAGGTTGAAACTCCGACACTCTGAGGGGGTCAAAGAAAGTTCTGCTGTTTTCAAGAAAAGTTGCTTCTGTGCCTCGGGTTCATTTGGCCTTCCTCCCGGCCATATCCTCCTGGGCTGCGCTGCTATAGGGCGAAAACTGCTAAACTGTTGATGTGACCTTTTCAGCGGCCCGGTCTAGTTATTGGGTAATAAATATAGGACTGTAATAGCCTGTGTTAATTAAGGGGGATGCATGGGGGGCGGGGGGGTAACGAGGGCCCAGCGGAGTAATTGACATACAGAGAGTGGAGACCTTTACACACCGGGTGCAAAGACACAGAGGAGGCTTCCCTTCAGAGCTGAGGGTAAAGACAATCTCTGGTTGGTTTTATGCCGTAGGACAGCGTTTTCTTAAACTATACGACTCCCAAACGGAGCCTCGTGTGTCGGTATATCTGGGGGGGGGGGGTAAAGGGGCTGTATATGCAGCTTGTCTCATTTGCTCTGAACCTTTTCATTTCCGTTCACCCAGTTACAAGCGAACCGGGGCCTGTAAACTAAAGTAGGAGGCAGGCTGGAAAATTGGCTTTTTGTACCAATGTGTGATTCCACCATTCTCTGCTATATGTAACTGCAACTTAATGTTTAACTCAAATGGGTCTTTAAATCTGTATTAAACACATTCGACAGCTGAAAGTAAATGTGATGAATCTCTTCTAGTTTGACAGATTTACTGTATTGTAAGGTATTTTATTCTTCTATCTCTCTATTTCTGGTTGTATAAATCTGTATCTTATTTATTTTTGGTTTTATTTCTCTATGATTGTTCTCCTGAGGTACAATGAACCAAACTGGGATTCATATGTCTAATGTGCAGGTTGGGGTCATCCTTTATGCATCCCAAGGTGTAGTCCTACCATCTTGTGGTGCCTTGCAGAATTACCTCATCTCCTGACCAACGCCTTAATATAAGCCTTTAATATTTATTAACTTCCGTAAGACTTCAGCTCTCTAATCTGCAGCTTTTCTCCTCTTAGCCTGATGCAACCTGGCCTGCATGCACTCCCATTGTTCATGATTTGAACAATTACAGCTGGATTTTATGTTTCCTTTTAAAGCAACTACTTTATGTTACAGTTTTATAACATTTTATACATTCATTGTGTGTCACTTAATGTAAAACCTTATTCTAATGATGTAAAAACTCTGAAAAAACTGGTTGTAAATGTTGACTAACTGAGGTGTTCATGTAGACAGAGTGTGCCGAAGTGAAGCAGATAATCTAAAGTGTGTTTCTGTGTAATAACCGGTGTGTACCTCATCTGGTAACTGAAGCATTGTTAAATCATCTGAATTTTGAATGTAATTTGGCGCGTTGTGCTGTACATCAGAAGAGAGACGGCCCAGCCCAGCAGCTTTACAGTAACCCATCAACAGCTGCCTCTGACTAACACCAAACACTCACCACACACTGTAAACATCAACATACAAACATCTTCAGTAACTTTAAGCAGGTTTTTGTTGACAGGTAATCAGTTATATTTACCTGCGCCGAGCTCCGTTTGACTCTGATCAGATATTAATGGCGACCCTTGTCTCTACCTGTTCACTGTTACATTAGGTGCATTCCTTCCACAGGCTCCGCCCACCGAGCAGGCGCGCCCTCGACACTTTTTCCCCACTCCCGCGGCCCGTGAGGCCTTCAAGTGCTGTCAGAAATATTGGCTTCATTGTAGGTACATTCAGTGCTTATAAACTGAGTATAAGAGAAGAATATGTATTATATTTGGGGAAAATACAGATTTTAATAGTGTTTTGTATGTAAGATCTTAAGAAAAAAAAACAATACCTAAAAACAAATAATACAATATACATATAAAATGTAGTCAGTATCCAAGTATCACAATATTAAAGTAACGTAACTTGATTACTTTCCATTTCTTTTCAATTACCTCAACACCCAGTATGTAAATTAAAAAATGTTAATAAGAAGTATTTATGTAAGAACAATGTAACTTTATCAAGGAATTAACACAAGGTTGTATAATGAAATTATTTTGCAGTTCCTTCTTACTACACGCACATATACAGCATAAAATAAAATAATATATTCAGTTATTTATATAAATATATATGAACACACCCAGGAAATAATTCTTTTGAATTTGTGTCCGAGGGAATGAAACCAGCCTTGGAAACTGAGATTGTTCCCTCTGATGAGAGTATTTCTGAAGGAAGACGGATGTATTTTAATGAAATAAATACACTGTAATCACTAATTTCCCCATTTGTACTAAATGTAATCTGATTACATCTTTATTTTTATACCTTTAATGGATCCGTTGATGTTGGGAAGGCGTGCAAGGATGCAAATAAATAACAGATAAATAAAATAATTCCTCTCAAATGCATTAAAACTAAACTAAAAAGCCTTTTTTTTAAAAGAAAATGCAGATATTTGTTTCCTGATACCTGAAAAAAAATACTTAAGTACTTCCCACCTCTGTATCCTGAGCCTGCTGCCACCTGTTTTCTCTGCTGCTGCCTTACAACAGTCAGTAAATGACTCCAGTAATTCACCGTCCA